AGGATCGCTTGAGCCCAGGAGTTTGAGGTTGCTGTGAGCTAGGATGATGCCACGGCACTCACTCTAGCCCGGGCAAAAGAGAGACTCTGTCTCAAAAAAAACAAAAAACAACAACAACAAAAAAACTTGGATACAAAGTAAACCAGGGGAAAAATCATCAGAGATGAGAATGAATACAATAGTAGCGTTACTGTTTCCAAACCAGTCTCCCTAAGAACAATGACTTATCCTTGTTTCCCAGACCGGTGTAATCCCAGCGCCTTAGCCGCACCTGGCACGTAGTAGGTACTTAGGCACTAATCGGTTAAACGAACGAAAAGACAGGCTAATCAATGAACTCACCGTGCCTTGCACAGTGTATGGCACATAGCTGCAGCTCAAAGAGGAAGCGGCTGCAAAAGGAACCCGGTGAGAGAAGCGCCCTTGAGGTCCCCCCGTTCCCCTGCAGACCCCCAGACCCCGCGCGCCCCGAACCTTGGTGTCCACGTCTGCCAGGCAGTCCCTGCGGAACTGGTCGAAGAGCCCCTGGCTCTTGAGGTGGTTCACGATCATGGCCACGAGCTGCGGGTCCCCGGCGCCAGGCCCCGCGCCGCCCGCCCCGCCCGCGCCAGGGCCAGCCCCGGGGCCCGGCGGCGGCGGTGGCGGCTGCGGCTGAGGCGGGGGAGGCGGCGGCGCCGGAGGAGGCGGCTGAGGCTGCGGGTTGGTGGCCATTGTGGCCTGGGCCGTGGAGGGCGCGGGCCCGCGCGGGCGGGCGCTTCTGGGAGGCGGCGGCTGCACTAGTCCCGCCGCCTGAGGGAAGCCAACGGGATGTTGTTACGGAACCAGCGGATCCAAAGCAACCTCGGAAGTGAAAAGGAACCCGGGGAAGGGAGGAAAAGGCGGTGACAACAGCAACGAAAGTACGGCGACGGGGGCCGCGAGGCGCCAGTTCCGGCCGCCGCCGGGCGCGGGCGCCCTCGCGAGGCCGGGCTAGGCCGGAAGCAGCGGCGGCGGCGGAGGAGAAAAGAAGACTGAGCGGCCCGTGGGCTGCGTGGTTTGGGACATAGGCCCCGGTTTGGAGTCCAGGTGGTGGGGGGATGCAGCCCGCGCGACACCCAGGGCCGTAGGGCCCACTGGGCGCCTGTTCGGAGCAGGCCCGAGCGGGCGAGTGAGGCTCTGTCTCGGTTCCATTCGCGAGGGCATTTTAGGCCTCCCGTCCATGCTTCTGTTTCACGGAACAGTCGAGATCCATAAACATTTATAATGTGAACCGTACGTGGAACGGCTTATTCTAAACTCTCCCAGCCCTGTTCGTTCTCAGCCTATGATCTTGTCCAATTTGCTTCCCAGAAGGTAGCTCCAAGGTCCTCCTGTCTCCTGCCCACGCGTCCCATTCTCCATTGGGCATCCCCTGCTACTCTCAGGGTGCCTGCGGACCAGACCCGGCTCCCTCCAACCCCTTTTTCCTGTCTGTGAAGATAAATGGGCTTTTAGTTTTAAGGGCTTTGCTATTGAGTACTATGATAATAGCAGGTAAATCTTACATAGCATCATGCGTGATGTGTCAGGTATGGCGATTTTACATGTATTACATTTACATGTATTTACATTCCATCTTTTGAAGAACACTAGAGCTGGGTCTGACTACTGGCCCCAATTTGCAAATCAGGGAACTAAGAAGGCCCAGAGAGATTAAGTAAATTGTGTAAAGTTATACAGCCAGCAAATCACCTGACTTTGGACTGCGTTATCCTTAAGATTATTATTGGTACATAAAGCAACATAAATATTACAAATTTTCACAGTTATTAGATCGAATGTAATTTTATTGGAAAATGCATCTGGGTGGAATGGATAGTGTTGCTTTCTAAAATCTATACATCTGTGGGTGAATATCTTAAGGCTAGAAGGAGAAGGGTTGAACATCAATTGTATTCCTATTTCTTTTTATAGCTGTATGCCTTGAGAAACTTTGTTTGTATAAAGTACTGTGCCTGAGAATGGAGGAGTTTTGCTGTAGCAAATGTCATTAGTTCTTGACCTTAAAAAATTAGATTTGATGATCTATGAACTGACTTCAATTAGGCTCTCTTTTAATTTTATTGAAAACGAAGAACCAAAAACCACCTGGTTTGCCAGAAGAATTTGTTTGCCTAGGCCTTATTTGTTTACTTTTTCAGTTTCTGGGAAATATACCAGGCAGGCTTAATATCAAGATATCAAGTAACTATGAATTAGATCTGTTTCTTTTTTTTTTTTTTTTTCAGTGTGATGTAGTTTAAACTGGATATAAAAAAAGTTTGGGGAATATCTGAACACTTCATCTTCATCAATAGTTTTGGATAAAATTTTTTAAATCCAGTGTTAACAGGTAGGTTGAATTATATTTTTGTCAAAACTTTGCAACTGCAGATGTAGGTCATTCAAGTTGAAAATGTTTGTCAAGTATGGAAAATGTTTATCATATAACCTAATTAACAGAACTACTTTCATTGTCAAACTAGCCAAATCAGATTTACTTTCCATCAGAAATAGTTTGACTTCATTATTTCAATTTAAATAAAGTGTCCTGTGTTTTGAGGTATATAATGAAGACTGTAGAAAGAAAAAAGTCATGGAATGACTCTTAAAAGATTTATTACTAAGAGTAGTCAAAATTAAAATGGTGTAAAATATAATTGTTTTATCCATTTTCAAAATGAGTTATGAAAACTAGTTTAGAATATGACAGGTTTCTGTTAATTATTAACAATACAATACAATATGTTGCTAAATTTATGTTATTAAGTAGTATGGTAAAAGGCATGGTATTTCTTTGGCATATATGGATGTGTTTATCAAATTTACTCAGCTTTTTGGAAATAACTAAGAATCATCCATAAAAACTCTGAAAAACTCCACAAATTTAATTAGACATAATGATCACCCTGTAAAATAAATTAATGAAACAAGGTATTTGCTGCTAAAAAGAAAATGGGTCGGTGGCTAATAAATAATTTTGTTTCGTGAACAACATTTAGAAAATCCTAAATAGTTTTTTTAATGTAATAAGGGGAGATTGACTGTAATTTAAGTAGATAATTCACAATTTTCTAAAATGTCTGCTAATTGCCTTATTAAATCTGATCTAAAAGAAATAACATAATATTTGCATACCTGAGTTCAAGTTACACTAAGCAGCCACATTATATTGGATACAGTGTAACTTCAACAATTTAGTAGCCTTGAAAAACATTCTAGATACATTAAAATGAATCTGGGTCACTGATCTTTACTGCTTTGGCTGTGCAAAGGTGATTTTCTTTCCGTTTGAAGACAGGTCCTAAGGATGAATATTTCAAATACCTGAACAACAACAACAAAAAGCATACATTTAAATCTTTTTCAAAAGCTGTTTTAAGCAGTCAACATTTCTTACCAATGCCCTCTTTGCTGTGTTTTCTCCTCCTGATTGTCTCTCTAGAAAGAGTATATATATATAATAGTTGCTAACAATACTTAGGGCATGGAAGAGGTGCGGTCTTCAAGAAAAAATTACCATCAGTCTCCTACCCCACTGTGTGTATATCTGAATTCAGAACATTCCAACAAGGGTCAAATACTTTCTCCCTCAACATAAATGACTCTCAATTTGTTCCCCAAGTCTGATGTTAAGGTGACAGTTAAACAAATTTTACAACCACTTTGGGAATGAGAGGAGTAATGGTGGGTTATTATGGCAGCCATTACTGGTAGCCATTTGTATCCTTGGGCACTAGATTCCTGCCAAGTGGCTGGCCCTTGGGATTTCCTCTCCTTCCTACAGTCTGGCCTGCCCCCTACCCTACCCAATCCTGCAAACTCTGTTTCTGGGGCCTTATCCAGTGAAAGTAAAACTTTGGTTATCTATCCCCAGGGAGCTCATCTGATTATTAGGCAGAGTTGTTTGTTTCCTTTCCCTTGTATCCCCATGGCATTCCCACTCCTAGCAGGGCTAGTCAGTCCATTTCTGACCAGGCCTTTCATAATGAAAGGGCTAATGAATATTTCCTAAATGACTCTCCATCAGCCCAAAACTTAGCAGAAACTTTGAAAGTTCATTTTTTTCAATGATAACAGAACACAGTCTTAGGCAGGGCTTAAAGAACCCCATTAATAATTTCTGTAAAAGGAGGAGGAGAAGAGAAGATGTATTATTTGCCTTTCAAATGCAAACTCCAGGGTCTCCGCTATTTCATTTTTGTTGTGGTACAATAGTCCCCCCTTATCTGTGGGGGATACATTCCAAGACTCCTAGTAGATGCCTGAGTTTTTTCTATCTGATCACCGGGATGGCTACTTAAGTGACTAATGTGTGGGTAGCGTATACAGGATGGATAAGCTAGACAAAGGGATGGTTCATGTCCTGGGAGGAACGGAACAGGACGGTGAAAGATTTCATCATGCTGCTCAGAATGGTGTACAATTTAAAACTTATGAATTGCTTGTTTCTGGAGCTTTCCATTTAATATTTTCAAACCATGGTTGACCAAGGGTAACCGAAGCCACAGAAAGCAAAGCTGTGGCTAACGGTGAGACTATTGTATAAAACAGCCAAGGAAGGTCAATATGCAGAGCATTATACAATGTTAATATGAGAGGGGGCATTTTTTTTCCCCCTGAAAGAAATTGAAAGAACTTGCTCTGGAATCAGGACATGAAGGTGGGGTTGGTAGAGGGGTGTGGTAAGGTAGAAAGGGAGAAGGGTGATTCTGGGGTACTAGGCAGAGACTAGAAACCTCACTCCCTGCCAGTCTGGGAGTACCTGAGAGTAGGGGTGCTTCAGAAGTGGTGGCTGTATGAGGATGTATGACCTTGAGCAGCTGCAGAATTCCAGAGGATGGCTAAGTCCTAGTTGGTGTAAAAAGAAAGATGGCTCTGGGAAACAAGTAGCAGTAATAAGAGAGTAGGATTGGGTTGCATAAGCCCCTGGGATATTGGGACAGGAACTTCAGAGGAGGAGAAAGGCTTTTTGGTGAAGTCAGACATATCAATAGCCTTAGTTATTAATACTCATGTATATATGATAGGCTGTGTGGCTAGAATAATCAGGGAAATTAACAGTGCTTCCGTTAATGGAAAAAAACCTAAACTGTAAAATGATTTAAAGAGTTTTGTTCTGAGCTGAATGTGTATGACTGGTGGCCTGGAGCACAGAACTTCAAGAGGTCCTGAGAAAATGTGCCCACCATAGCTGGGTTACAGTAGGAAAGAGGAACTGCACATAAGATCCTGAGTCAATACATGGAGGGCGTACATTGGTTTGGCTCAAAAAGGTGGGACATCTCAAAGTGGAGGGGGCAGGGCTTACAGGTTAGAGGGGGTTCAAAGATTTTTTTTTGATTTGTAATTGGTTAAAGAAATGAAGCTTTGTCTAAAGGCTTGGAATGATTTAACTTAAGGATGTCCCTTAATCAGAGACAGAAAACTCAAATGATCTGTTAAGTAAAATGATAGCTTACAGGTATGGTTTAAGCTTTGCCTTGCATGGCCTTAGGCCTGTTAATGATTTAGTATCTTATCGTTACAAAGAATATCTCCAAAAGGCAGGGGGATAAGGAGACATGCCTGACCTCCCTTCTTAAAACTGATGACTCAGCTTTAACGTTTTTCTGAGATCCCCTTGGCCAATAGGGTCCGTTCGGTAAGCTGGGGGACTTAAGATTTTATTTTAGTTCACCATTCTTAAATTTTAGCGTGCATCAGAATCTCCTTGAGGGCCTGTTAAAACACAGTGCCAGGCCCCATCCCAAGTCTCTGATTTGGTAGGTCTGGGGCAGGGCCTGAGACTTTCCATTTTTAACAAATGCATTTAACAAATGCTGATAGATCATCA